CCAAACCTTGCTGTGTTTGTTTGGCTTGCCCTGCATGGAGTAACACAAAGAAGAGCAAATGGGAAAATCCACATTAATGTCTCAGCCCAGGAGCAGGGGCCTCTGGGGGGATCTCTGTGGGTGCATGGTCCAGGCTTGTCCTCACCTCCCTGTGCCTGCAGTGCAGGCATTGCCACCTCCTCACCAGCATGAGGGGATGGAGGTCTGAACTGTGCGCTTCCTTAAACCCAAATCTTCCGAATTTGGGGAAAGGCAGCTGGGAAAATCTTCCTTGTTTCTCCCTGCACCCGTAATTCTTGAGCAAGGAGACATTCATCAACAATTCCAGCATCTCTGGCCAAGATAGGAAGAGGAGAACCAGCAGGAATAGGAAATGTTGGGGTGCTCAGACCCCAAACACAAAGAAACCTTGGGGAGACCTGTTCCCCATCGTTTTGCCATGAAAACATGAGCAGCCTTCGCCTGCTCCCACACACTCCAAGATGCTTCCCAGGAGCTCTGCTTTCCCCACAGCCCACGTGGGATGAAGCAGTGAGAGGGGAAATGCTTTCAGTGTTGATAACACAGCCTGAAGCTCCTCGAGGGGCAGGGGCTGCTCACCTTGCAGGCACCAGCCCCATCAAGACCTGCCAGTCTGTCCCCAGCTGGGCAGACAGAACCCCCTGATGCAAAAGACACTGCTCCAAGAGATGGGGAGGCCCCCAAAATACCTGGGAAAACCAGGATCAGCTGATGTTACCAACCAGTTCCACGCTGGTTGCTTTGTGGGGCCAGGTTGACTCGGATACCCTCTGAAAATGGCACCAGGAGTTACCCCATGTAGCTCAGGGTGCATAACTGGAGCCAGGCATCGAGGACAGGCTGAGGTGGGGGCCACCACACTGAAGATGTGCATAAATGGGCAAACCAAGCCCCATGCCCTGTGCTTTTGGGGGAAGGATGGTCTCTTGGCTGCCTGGGAAGCACATGATCTTTCCCCTCCTTCAGCTGGTGTTGGATATCAGCCTGATGTGATTCTTTGGCACAGTTTGCTGTGTCCAGCTTCACGAGGTAGCAGCCAACACATCCCATGGGAAATTCAAGCCACTCTCCAGCACGGCAGGTCAGTGGCTGTGAGAAATGGGGCTCTGCCAGGACTGCTCCTGGGCTCCCTCCTCCTCCTCCTCCTCCCTTCCCACACCCCCAGCTCCCCAGCGAGACAAAGCCATGCCAGCAAGTACAACTCCCAAAGAAAGGAAGGGAAAAGAGCACAACTTATTCCAGTCCTTCCCTCCTGAGGGGTGCCTGGCTGCAGCTGCACGAGGAGTTTTGTAGAGTCCCCAGAGATGCTGCTGCCAGGGGATGGATGCTCAGGGCTGGGTCTGAGAAAGGCAGAAGAAACGTGGCCAAACACACAGATCAGGTCTCTCCAGGTGTGACAAACTCAACATTTTCATGCAGTGGGAGTCCAGGGCCTGCTGGGCTCTCTGTGATTACACTGCAACCTCTCATGATAACACGATATCACGGTGTTGTGTTCCTGGTGGATGAGTCAGATACCACTGAGTTGAGCCAAGCAGTGCTGACCTTCAGGAGAATTTGGAGTCAACTCTGTGCTCCTGTTCAAGTTTACAGCCCAAGTTCACTATTACTGAGCAAAGGATTTTATTCAGAAAGGGATCATCAGGTCAGGGCAAGGAGCTGCCTCCTCAATGTGCTGAGCAGCTCACTCACTGAGGCACAGCAGCATTAGACACAGCCCTACTCTCTGTTGTAAGTAATACTAATGGGAATCTTACTATCTGCATGCTTGGCTGGTGAAGTACATGATTTTCCTTCTGTGCCTTCGCTGTCCAGAGGCATTTGCTGAATAATTTACAGATATGATTTGTACTTGAGCGGCCTCTGGAATTTGGAAGCAGAATCCAAATGAAAGCCTGGCTGTGTCTCTCAGGCCATGCTGTGGGGAGATTTTATGAACCTGGGACACGGTCACCTGCCCGTGTATTTCACAGTGACAGCCAGGGTTAGAGCCTGGGGAAGCTCCAGCCCTCAGACCATCCAAATCTACTTCCAGCAGGCACAGGATCCAGTGGTCACCCTCACTCCTGCCCACCTTGGGCTGTTGCAGTTAAATAGGCAGAGCCAGCTCAGGATTTATCCCACTAACTCCTTGCTCAAGGCAAGGCAGCAAGGAACATGCACAATGACTTTCTGAACAAGAAATTAATGAATAATAGAGGGTTTGCAGTTCTGGAAACAGTCCTTCCAACATTCACAAAACACCTGGGACATCAGAGTCATTTTGTGACTAATCAGCTGTTGTTGGATGTCTCATGAGTACCAAATGAAACAAGAAGTCCCAGCTCAGAAAGTAATTTGGGAAACACTCACCAATCCCATCTGTTGTGCATAAACAAACAGCTCTGCTGTGGTTGCAGGGTCATGAATCGCCTTGGAAGAGTTAGAGATACCATCTACATAGAGAGCTGGGGGGAAGAAGAAATATCCCTGCCCACTGGTTGGGAATATGGACAATTAGCACCCTGTTGGGAATTACTGCTGAGTTTCCACCACCAGCCAAGCCCTGCTGGGTGTATATGGGCTCTTGTGGGTGCAGAAATGGTCAATGCCTGCATCCAGCATGGCTTGGAGCCTCCTGTGCTCGTCCCTGCTAGGCTGAGGAGCAAGAAAGGAATTGTGTGTGCCCTTGGTGTGTCCAGGGGAAGAGCAGCATATTCCCTCCTGCACCCTCTGAGGCAGCAGGATGTGTCAGGGGGTTGCCTCCTCTGTCCCTTCTCAGGGGACATCTGTGCCTGTGGCTCAGAGCCAGGTACAACACGGACCTGGCTGAGTGCACGGTGTCTGGGAGCATCTCTAAGTCAGCACTTGCTCGTTGTTTCTCAGGGCATGCAGGCTGTGTAGGGCAGGGATGGTCTGCAGCCAGCCCAGGGTGCTCCCACACATCATGGTGCTGGGAATGAGCAAAACTGGGATGGGAGGAATGAGGTGATGGGTGACAATTTGATCTGCAGCCTGTTTTGAAACAGGGAAAGCAAGGCTTGCACCAGGGGGATCTGGGTGGGTCACTCCAGAAATCTGGTAATCTCCTAATTTACCCATGAGACAGGTAGGGAAATGCTGGCTTAGATAAAATACCTTCCATTTCCTGCTCCCTGCCAGCTCCTTGGGCTAGGAAGTGTGACAGAGGAAAACACTGAGTTGTCCTGCCCCTCTCCCAGGGGACAGGCTGGAGTCACAAGAGGACATGGACAGGTCTGCCCCATCTCCCCTGGCCCAGGAGCTGACCCCCAAGCTTCCAGCAGGCACAGCTCAGCTTTGCCAGGCAGCAGCGCCGCGTGGGAGCGTGCAGGCACTGAGCAATGGGCATGGAAGGGAGGTTTCAGCTCCCAGTGGGTGCCACGCACGTGCAGCGTGGGTGGTTCTGCAGATGGCAGTGCCGGGCAGCCTCGGCGTTCCTGCCTCCCATGGCAAACGTTCCCACGTCAATGGGCAGGGAGGAAAAGCGGGATTTTGCGAGCATTCCTGGGCTGGATAAAGCAGTAAAGTCTGGGGGATGCCCTGGGCTCAAGGTGGGCCATGGGTGTTTCCTCGTGGTCTGAGCCCTGTGATGGTGTGCTGTACACAAACAGCAGCCAGGCTCCATGCCAGCTCACACCGCTCCCCAGGACCCAGCTAATTACAAACCACAGAGCAGCTCAGGGCATTGAAGCCTCTTACCAGGGATGCAGCTGGAGCGTGACCAGAGTCCGGATCAGAGGCAGAGCACTTGCCAAGCCCCAGCTTACGGGGATGCCACCACAGCAGCTCCCACGTGAGCACGAGCCCAGGACCAAGCCCTGACATCTGTGCTGGGTGTGCAGAGCAAAGCCAGGCCATGCACTGAAGAGTCAGAGGCCAGTCTGCCCTGCAGGGACTCATCTGCTCCACCACTGACACCTCAGGCATCACAACACTTATCCTTATCAAGGGACAGCCCCAGCAGGACTTATCACTCACCACTGCTCATCCAGCAAAGCCTCAAGCCTTCCTCTCTGACCACCACCAGGATCTTCCTCTGTTGCTTTAGAAGCAGCTGTGACATCCAGTCAAAAGAGGAAGGAGAAATCATCTCACCTTGCAGCCAGATCCCAGGAACTTCCCAGCAGGGAGCACAGCTTGGAAAAGCCCTTGTCCTTGGGCAGGAGGGTAGATGCACGACAAATCCATCTCCACAGGCTTTAGGCCAACTCCTGAGCAAGCCCAGCCCTTTTATAAGCCATTTTCAGGTGAAACCTGTTGAGGTGAGCCGTTCTGGGAAGATTTGTATCACCTTGGATAACCTTGGGCTTGCTGACTGCTCTTTTGTCCCCTTGGCACCCAGCCCACAGTGCACAGACACATGCACAGCCTGATTTATGGCAGGGCTGGGGAGGGCAGGTGTTGGGCCAGCTCTTTCCAAGGGCAGAAGCCCAGCTCACACCGCCCCATCCACATGTTAATGGTGATTTTACACCCTCCTCACATTATCCACCCACTGGCTTGCCCAAAGGATGTCAAAATTGTTATCCTCACTTGGAGAGAGGGGAAAGGGGAGTGAGAGGGACGTGAAGAGATATGGCAGAGGCCAACCAGGGACTTGGGTCAAAAAGCAGGGCTGAACCCCACCTGTCCCAAATTGCAGCCTGGCTTGGGTCTCCTTTGGGGCCATTCCTCACGTGTGCAGGGGACAGCTTTCCTGCAAGTGTCCTGTGGCTCTGCCTGGTGAGCATGGAGTGGCTGGTTCAGGTTCTCTTGGTGCCCTCAGGAGAGCTCAGATGGTCCCACATGAGCTCTCCTGAGCAATAATTTAACTGTGTCCCTTTCTTACCTTCTTCCCACCCCGGCAAAAGCAAGAGCCACACAGATCTGCATGATTTTTGAGGCTGGAATTTTGTTCTTGGATAGAAGTCTTTTAAAAACACAGTAAAAACCCTTAAAGCTATATTACAAAAACCCCAACCCAACAGAGTGGGAGAAAGAGCAGGAGAAAGGAACAGGCCTGGGAAGCCAGCTCTGTATTTTGCCCCGGTGCCCAAGGACAAGGAGCTCTTTGTTTCCCTGGCCAGAGCCTGCTGTACTGGCCCTTTTCAGGCTCCCTCCCTGGGAAAGGGGCCAGGGGAAAGCAGGCACAAGCAGGGCAGGCAAAATCCCTGGGGCTGCTGTGAATAACCCCTGGTCAGACCCTCAGCAGCCTCCCCTCTTCATAGAGGCAGTTGTAGGGAGTCTGCCAGGAGCAGCACCAGGAGAAGGTGCCCGGGAACCCTTTGGCTCCCTGCTTCCCACACCCCATCCCTGGAAATGAACATGCTCCTGTTCCTGCTGCTCAGCTCTCCGTGGGCTTCTCTGTGTCTCTTGGACTTTGCCATCCTGGAACACCTGCTGAACTGCACTGGAGCACCCAGGGGTGTGTAAACACCTGCTCGTGGCTTGCTGGAAGAATCACAAGTGCTCATTCCAGGTGTATCCATCTGTCTGTCCAGGCTGGACAGTGCTTTGAGGCTGGTTCTGCACACTGGTGTGGCAGCTGTCTGCAGGCTGGGGATGCTGCACTGCCCTGCCCTACACCCACACCAGGGATGACATGAGCTGGTCCATAAAATCCCAGGAGGGTAGGAGGGGAAATGGCCTCTGCACCCCTGGGAAATAAGGTGCAGCCAGGGATTTATCCTGCTTTGCCAGGAAATGTGCAAACACCAGCTGATCCCATTTCTACAGGGCACAGAGGACCACAGAAATGTGCCAAATTAGCCCCAAAACACAATGCAGGTCCCAAAAGTGGGGCTCAGGTTTACCCAGCACGGTGCAGCCAGGTCCCACATCCGTGATGTTCCATTTCCCACCATCCACAGGATGATGCTTACTAGAAAGCAGGGCAGGAAAATAAGAGCAATCTCTCCCCAGGTCAAAAAAATGTTCCTCCTCAAGGCTATTGTCCCTCTGGGAAAAACAGGAGTTTGTGGTGTCTGGACTTCAGGAACATAAATGCTCTTCAGCCTTATTACAAGGGGATGGCTTGGGTGGTCCTTCCCGTCTTCTATTTGGATATTTGCACCCCAGGGACACCTTCCCAAAGGGTCTGGGTGCCCCCCAGCCCTGGGGAGGGGGCTGTGGGATTGGTTCTAGGTTGCTGCTCTGAACAGCACCAGCCAGAGCAGAGGGGAGATGGAGCAGGCTTTGTTAAAATCAATAAATTCAAGGAACAGGCCTTGAATGTGTTTCCTCAGCAACTGTGACGTCACGTGGACGTCTGGCCTCCCCTTCTTCCCCCCCTCCTTCTTATTATTACAAGGGAAAATAAAGGGAAGCAGACAGTGAAGGGGAGCTGGGGACAGTCTCCTGGCAACGCTGGGGACAGCACCATCCTCCTGCCAGGGGGACATGGCTCCAGCACAGGCAGCCCTGCCAGGCCTCGTGGCTGCACTGGTGGCATGGAGAAGGCATCCCTGGTGTCCCTGGGGTGGAGGTGACAGTGCTCTGGCCACAACCATGTCCCCAGGGATGCCCAGCTTCTTCCCAGCCCTGCTGAGCCCAAATTTACCCTGTGTGAGTCCTTGGTGAGCAGAGCAGTGGGGGCTTGGGGCCTGCATTCCCCCTGTGAATTGCAGACATTTTTTGGTGATGAGGACCGTGAATGTCTCCCCACAGTGCCAGGCTCTGGCAGGAGGCACGGCAGGGCAGGGGACAGGGTCACTCTGTGGGCTGTCACTGACACCTGCTGGGTGCCCCTCGCCCTGTTGTGGCTGCACAATTCCCCCCACACCAAATCCTTGTCATTTGAGCTATTTAACCCACCCTGGCTCAGTTTTAATGGGCAACAGCTCAGAGAGTGGGGCCAAGCAGGAGGGAGGTGGCAGAGGAGTCCACACAGGCGTGGGTGGCTTGGGGACAGGGAGAGGGGACTTTTCCAGCCTTTCCAAGCATCCCAGGCCGAGGCATCCCCCTGTGCCCAGCAGCAAGGTCTTGCCAGCCCCTGAGCCCCTTTGCTGGGCTCAACTCAGCTGTGAAACGCCACAGATGGTGCTGGAGCTGGGGGCAAACAGGGTCACAAAGCAATTAGCCCAGGTCCTGCCGAGCAGCCCCGCTCAGCTCGGCTGTCCTGACCTGAGCCACAGCAGGAAAAGTCTTAAAAACCCTGATTCTCAGGACCAGGGAAGGGACCCCCTCCATTTCCCTGTTTCTCCTTCCCTTTGCCAAGCCTCCACTGCTGTCTCCTGCCAGAAGAGGGTGGTGAAGGAGGCTTTGCTCGGAGCTCTTGTCCCGGATGCACATTTAATTTGTTGTTACATACCCAGCAATGGAGTGACACTATTTTTTATCTCTGTGTGTTGGCCCAGCAGGGGAAATCAATACGTTCCTGTGAACGCCAAGAGCAAGCTGATGTCTCCTAAGACTAAGAGAAACAGAAATAAAGATGCAGGCTCCCAAGGGAGGGCAGTAAGCTTTCCCTCACAGTAATCTGTGTTGGGATGTGCAGCCCTGGGGGTAGATGCAGGTGGTACCCAGAAACCAAAGGCATTGCAGGGATACCCTTGTTGCTGGGGCTCTTCCCACCTCTGCCCACAGCACCTGGTAGAGCTGGCTCCTGCCTTCTGCTCTCCCAGGAGCTGCTTCAGCCTGAGCCATGGCTGAGCAAGACCTGGGGACCTGGTACTTGGGGACACGCTGTGCTCTGGTGTCACTTCTGTGGGGCAGCTGGAGCAAAGCTGAGCCATGGTAGGGCTGCAGGTGGGGGGTGGGCCTGTGCAGACCCTTCCAGAAGGGTTTTACTCCATCCCTGTCCCCTGAGCATGTTTCTCTCCCTGCTTCTCGCTGCAGGTTCATGAATCACCGTGTCCCGTCCAACTGCAGGTACCAGCCCACGGAATACGAGCACGCAGCCAACTGTGCCACCCACGCTGTGAGTCCCTGTCCCTGTGTGAGGGAGGATGGTGCCCAGAGAGATCTCTGGGGATCCACTGAGGAACCTCAAGGGACACCTAAAAACTTCTGTGTTCAGCCCTGGAGCAGTCACTGGGAGTCTGAGGGCTGTGATGAGGCAGAGGTGCCCAGTGTGCTCCTGGGGACTGGGATGTTCTCCCTCCTCCTGCCCTGGGAAGTTGATATGCATCTCTCTTGCTCTTACCCTCCGTGGCCCTGTGTCCCTGGGGAAGCTGGCTTTGGGCTTGGTGGGGCAGGGGTATTTTCAAAGCTCCCTGAAAATGGATTGTTTCACAGCAAGAACTGTGACAGCTGCCCATGGGGCTGCAGTGGGAGGGACCTCTCCCCCCATCAGAGTTTCTTTTGGGAGCTGACAGTTCCCACTCTGAGTCCTGGGAGATGACTCAGAGACAATCATCCTCCTTGTGCCTTCCTCCTCCTCCATACCTTCTGGACAAACTATTTTGGAGCTGCACCACGCAGGGGAGGGACCCTGACTGCCCCTTACAGGTGGTAGCTTTGACCAGAAGCTAAAGAAACACCTAAAAGGAAAAGTGGAGGCTGCTCAATGGAAATGCAGAATCAAGAGTGAGTTTGCTTCCCCTTCCAGTTCTGGATCCTGCCCAGCATCCTCGGCAGCTCCATCCTCTACATCCTCTCTGATGACCAGTGGGAAACCATCTCAGCCTGGATCTATGGCTTTGGCTTGTCCAGCCTCTTCATTGTCTCCACCATCTTCCACACCATCTCCTGGAAGAAGAGGCATCTCAGGTATTGTCCTGGATTGCCCAGGGCTTGGGAAGGGGGAGAGGGTCCAGATGCCCCCAGTGCTGTGACCCATCTGTCCGTCCTGCAGGACTGTGGAGCACTGCCTACACATGTTTGACAGGATGGTGATCTACTTCTTCATCGCTGCGTCCTACGCTCCCTGGTGAGTTGCTGGTGGCTGGGGGCCTTCACCTGGCCCCACTGAAGGGGAAAAAATCATCCTGGTTCCAATAAACAGAATTTCCCTCTCTGGCTTTGCTTCTTCTTGAGGCCATACCTTACCTCTTTCCACAAAACCTTCACCTCCTGTAGATTCCAACCTCCTGAAGCTGAAGTTACAAGTTGGGAAGACCCTTTGGTGGGACAGCCATGGGGGTGAGGGGGTGAGCCCAGCCCAGGGTGCTGCTCTAGACCCACCTCACCACAGCCCTGGCTCTTGCAGGTTGAACCTGAGGGAGTTGGGTCCCTGGGCCTCCCACATGCGCTGGATCATCTGGATCATGGCATCCATCGGGACCGTCTACGTTTTCTTCTTCCACGAGCGGTGAGTGCAGGGACATGCTGCCGTGAGTTGCTTCCTCCACGTGGTGGCACCAAATAAAAAGCCAAAGGCCCCAGACGTGGCCCCGAGGTCCCAAGTGCCCGGTCCCAAGCCAGTCCACACATGAGGACATGGGACCTGCCGTGATGGCACCGCCACCCCTTCCCCTCTAGCGCTGCTGTGGAAATTACAAGTGTAAAACAACCTCTCTGTGTCCCTGCTCCAAGCTGCCTCTCTGTCTGCTGCAGGTACAAGCTGGTGGAGCTGGTGTGCTACGTTATCATGGGCTTCTTCCCCGCCTTGGTCATCCTTTCCATGGTAAGCCAGTGCTGGGGAGCACTTGGGCTCAGTGTGAGGGACAAACCCCAGGAGGGATTTGAAAACCCGGAACAGTTTGTCTCCAGGCTGTGTGAAGGGTAAAGCCACCCCTGGTACCCCGTGGCTCACCTTGGTTTTGCAGGTTCTTTGGATGCCCAGCAGGCACCACCTGCGTCTCTCCCAGATCTCCTGCCTGGGCCCCATTGTTTGGAAATTGTAGGATCACAGAATCATAGAATGGTCTGGTTCGGAAGGGAACTTAAAAATCATCTAGTTCCATTTCTCCTGGCCCTGCTGGGTCCCTGCTGTCTTGCTGGAGAGGAGGGGGTAGCAGAAGGCAGAGAAGTCCAGAGCTGCAGCTGTACAACCCTTCTGCTCTTAACGGGGTGGTGGGGAGAGGGCAGACGCCCCTTGGCCTCACTGAGCATTGCCTGCCCCCAGCCCAACAGGGACGGCCTCCTGGAGCTGGTGGCCGGTGGGTTCTTCTACTGCCTGGGCATGGTGTTCTTCAAAAGCGACGGCCGCATCCCGTTCGCCCACGCCATCTGGCACCTCTTCGTGGCCATCGGAGCTGGCATCCACTACTACGCCATCTGGAGGTACCTCTACCGGCCCGGAGCGCTGGACACCAAAACCTCCCGGTAGAAGCCTTAAGGACATTGTTGGTGCCACCTGGCACGTGGGGACACAGAGGGCAGCGGGGACACAGCCTGCCCCGTGGGCTCGCCCCAAAGCGCCCCCTCACCCCATGGACAGCAGCCGCTGGTGCCCTTCCCGCACAGACAGGAGAGCCCAGAGGTTGATTTTAAATGCTTTTCTTTTTTAACCTCGGGAACTGTTTATTTTTTTAGGCAAAGGTTTCAGAACACAGTGACTGACTGGGCTGTGGGTGATAGGGGAGTGACCACTCGCTGGGAGCTTCGCTCACTCACCCGCTCTCGAGCGTCCCACGGGACTGGGAACCTTGGCCCCACATGCCCCTGGCTATGACACCCTGGGTTTGGCTACTGGAGTCCTTAGTGTGTGCCACTGAGGGGACTGGAGGAGTCAGGATGAGGGGAGAGACCCAGTGGTGGAGAGGGATGTGGTGACATCCCTGCACCACCCAGACTGGCTCCTAAATCATCCCAAGTCCTGTCAGCACTGCCAGCTCCATCCCAAGTCCTTGAGGGGATGGTCCATACTCAGCAAGCCTTACAAGAGATTGAAACTTGAATCTCTTCCAGGGCATCCCAGTCCCTGAGCACTGGGAAACCCTTTCTCTAAGCCAATATTAAGTGCACAACTCACTACATCCCTGGGATCCCCCCATGGACATTTTCTCCCTGGTTTTCCTCTCCAGCCTCGGTGCCAGTGGCAGCCTGGAGCACAGCCCTGCTCCCAGGCCCTGCTGCACGTGTGCCTTCAGCAGGGAGCAGAGCTGGGATCTGGCTCCTGGCGTCTCCCTGACTGGGGTCAGCCCCTCCATTTCATCCCTTTCTCCTCGAGGGAGGGAAGTGAACCTCCTTGGACTGGCATCACGGGGCGAGCTGCCTTCCCTGCTCCCATTTTGCTGATGAACCTATTGCTCATCAGATTTAATTCCACTTTTGGAAAGATTTCTGGCATTTTCAGGATTGCTGCAGGGCAGGAATACATCCACACGAAGCCTGGGTGTGAGCTGGGACAGAGAGATCCTAGTGATACTCAGTTTTAAAATGCCTAACCATGGCCACAGGCCAAAGAGACATGGAACATCCATCCAGCAGAATGGGAAAACCACACCTGATCCTGCTCCCCAAACACCCTGACAGAGCTGCTGGAGCCAAGGAGGGTGTGGTGCGTGCTGGGCTGTGCCTGCACCTTCCCCATCAGCCTCCAAAAGAATCAATCACCTCTTTTTGGCCTTTGATTAATCACAGCCTCTGGTTTGATGTGGCAAGTGAAGGAGATCTGCTGCCACCATCCCACATCTCCTGCAGCTTTCCAGGGAGCTGGGCAGAGCTTAGGGCCCCCCAGCCTGTGGCACCCCAGGACTGGCTCTCCAGGGCTGTGCCATTTTGCAGCAAATTACCAAAGAGGAAGCATCTGGATACTCACCCCCTCCTGATGTGCTGCCTGTGGTTGCCAGGATGGCAAAAATATCCGGAGGGTTTTCACTTCCATGGGCAGAAGGTTCCTGTAAAAGGCTCTGGGAGCTGTACCCAGCACCCCAGCCTGACCTGAGGCTGCTGGGGGTCAGTGCCCAGGGCACCCAAAAGCAGCCTTTGGGCTGGGGCTGCCCTTGGGGTGATGGGTGGTCTTAGGGATGGGGGTGAACGAGCTGGTGTGAGCCCAGACTCTGCTGCTGCCTCTGCCCAGCCCTGGCCCTGCCACCTCCTGCAGATGGAGAGGTGGAGAAGGACAAGCTGTGAGTAACCAGCAGTTGATGGAGCATATCTGGGGTTGGAACAGCGGGATACAGAGGTCCCAGAATGGGAGATGCCATATTTTCTGTCTGGCAAGTCATTACCCTTCTCTGTGCCTCAGTTTCCCCATCTGGAATATGGGGGCAAAGACCCTGACCTACCTGACAGGGCTCGTGTGAGGACCCTGTGAAGCACTTGGAGGGCAGCCAGAGCTTCACAAACACCTGCTCCAATTTTCACTGAGTCTGGGGGAGCAGGTTCCCAGAGCCACCATGGGGCACGGTGACAACCTCGGCTTAGTGTGCCTGGCTCTCCTCCTTCTCTGTCACCAAATCCCACGGGGAGCCACCCTGGGGTCAGACCATGCAAACAGCAGCCACAGGCAAATGTCCCCAGGCAGGAGCTGAGGATGCCCAGGGACCACCAATGTGTTTTGCCCGTGGGCTTCATCCCAAGGGATTTATCTCAGAAACTGTTTTGCCATTGTGGTCTTTTTGGCCCTAAATCTGTCCCAAGGGCTCCCGAGGCACAGGGAGGTGCCAGAAGGACCTTTCTGAGGTGGCTTCATCTCAGTCTCCTGCTGAAAATCCATGGCAGGAGAGATGCCCGGGCAGGAATGGATGGTCGGGCTCTGTGGGGAACATCGCCACCCTGCCTTCAGCCTGGATTTGCAGAGTGAGCTTCTCTGTAACTGAGAGGCTCCCCCTCTTCTCTTGTTCCTAAATCCTCCCCTGGCAAAGCATGGGGGACACTGAGCAAGTTCTTGGATTGTCCTCCTGTTTTATACTAATTTTAAATGACTCGTAACATTCAGGGTGTTTGTGGAGGAGGGCTCGAGGGATCTTTTTAGCATCTCATGTTTTCACCATCCATCCTTGTTCAAGCAGTATTTTATATTTAACACAGTATCGGGTCAAACACAAACAAATGTAAGGAAGATAACGCTAGTGGATATTATTTCGTGTGGAGTAGGATTGAAATAAAAACTCAAGATACCTCACTCTTGCCTGCTTGTTAAATCAAAATTAGTTCCCCTGCAGCATCAGGAAATAAACTCATTTTCTGTCTGACTCATCCCACATGGTTTTGCTCCCTGGTGAGGAGAGGAGCCACTCAACCAGCTGCAGGGTGCTGGGATGCTGAGCACTGACTCACCTTGGTGCAGGGATGGCATTGCCGGCTGCTGAACAAACAAACAAACAAACAAATAAATCAGTGAGTTTGCTGACGGTGCCCCTGTGCCCAGAGGTGCTGGCTGAAAGATTCATCAGCATCTCACCACAGCAGCTTCAGCACAGAGCCTGCTCCAGCCCTGCCGTTCCCTCTCCTCTGTGGCTGAGTCAGAAGTCGAGGTGTGGAGCCCCAGGGCGGGCACTGGGGGGGATGAAGGATGCCAGAGCCACGGAGGAGAAAATCCGTGGCAGACTGGGCAGAGGGTAAGCACAGCTCACTGCTGATCCCACAGAGGAAAACCCACCCAGCAGCTCCCATCAGGTTCTCCCGTGGGCTCTGGCTCCTCTCGGAGGGGGAGGATTTACCTCAGTGCTGGAGCTGCCTGCCCTGGCCTCTGCACATCCACTGTCTGCCCTCTGCCATAATTACACCGGGCTCAATTCCCCCAGGCTGCCACGCTCAGCGGCTTTCCCAGAAAGCCAGGAAGGGTTCCCTGCTTCCAGGGGCAGCTGAACTCACCCCAAAACCTGACCCACAACTTCCACCTCGCCCATCATTTCTTTGCTGCTGGCAATTGGGCTGGACTGGGAGGCCTCCTGACTTTGCTTTGGTGCTGTCATTCCCAGAGGGTGTCTGGGTGGTGGAATTGCTTTCCCACCCAGAGCACCCCTGGACAGGGAAACACCCCTTCACCGAAAGGAGACATTTTCACCAAGGAAAGCAGAGCATCAGTGACCATCTCAACTCGAGCAACTGCCCAGGGCAGTAACGATCCATCCCTTCCTCCTTTCAGGCACCATCCTGTGTGCAGCCTCAGCAGTCTCCAGGTCAGCTCTGGAGCTGGTTTGATAAAACCTGTTTGGCCAAAGGCAGCCTGTGCAGCTGAGGTGCTGCTGCCTGCAGAGCCCTGCCTGGCTCGCTCCTGCCATTTTCATAGAATCCTAGAAAGGCTTGGGTTGAAAGGAACCTTAAACCTCATCTTGTTCCAACCCCTGCCATGGGCAAGGACACCTTCCTCGAGACTGAGTTGATCAAAGCCACTTCCAACCCGGCCTGGAACACTTCCAGGGATGGGGCAGCCACAGCTTCTCTGGGCAACCTGTGCAGAGTCCCTCTCCATCTTTCTTGGAGTCCCTTTAGCCACTGGAAGAGGCTCTAAGGTTTCCCTGGAGCCTTCTCTCTCCATCCTGATCACCTCCAGCTCTCCCAGCCTGGCTCCATAGGAGAGGTGCTCCAGCCCTTGGAGCATCTTCACAGCCTCACTCCAGCAGCTCCACATCCTGGCCTTTCCTACATCCCGACCCTTCCCCAAATCCTGACTTTTCCCAGTACCGACCCTTCCTACATCCCTTCCCCATTCCCGAGCCTTCCCCGCTCCCGTTCCCGTCTCCTGCCGGTGGCAGCGGGCGGTGCCGGTGTTTCCGCACGGGGGAGCCGCAGCCGCGGTCGCTCCGCCCCGGCGGGACCGGCCCGAGGTCCCCGCCAGCCCCGGCG